CCCCGAAACTGTGCCACCAAAAACACCCCGAGGTGGTAAGTTAAACAAAATTCGGATAAGTAGGAAGGTGTGGAGTGGTAGCAGAGTGCCAAGACACCACCGTATGAACCAACGACAAATGTTCGATTCCTGGCTAAAGCTAACAGCACCCGCTTAAATGTAAAACGAAGTTCTTTAGAACTGCTTTTTGTGTTGTGTTTCTTGTTCCCCCCTCCCCCCGCCGCACCTCTGAATAGCACGGTTGGCTACGTATGGTGCGAAAAAAGTTCAACATACATACGTACATACCCCACTCACATTCCCTGAAGGTAACTTAATCCAGCTGTGGATTGACAAAGTGCTGTAAATAATTACTATTGTTAATTTAAACAAAGAAACTATTTTTGTACAATTTTTTTTTTAGTTTATCAGGCGATGCCTACTGAGCTATATTGCTCTTTCAGACGTGACCTGGCCACATTATATCTCGACGAAGTGGTTTATCATGTGGAAAAGTATAGTGGCCAAATATTCTAAACGCGTGATGTTGATTTTAAATGTGGAGGGGAAAACCGGAGGACCTGGAGACAAATCCATGCGATCACGGGGAGAACATGCACACTTCAAATATACAATAGGCGTCAGGGTTGGGATTGAACCCACGACGTCCTGTATACCAGGTGTGGGAGTTAACATCTCGCCAGTGAAAGTTTTTCAGTTTTACATCTCAAATTGCTTTGAGGGTCAGCCATGCAAGCCTCATCATCATCATCGATGTCTGGTTGTCTCCTACACAGCAGCATCATATCAAGCTGTAGTTGGGTTTCAACGCAGGGGAGCAGAAGAAGACAAACGGATTATTGTTCCAGCAAGACATTTCATGCGCTGTAGCTTCCTCTTGATAAAAAAAAAAACACATTTAAAGTTATTTTTCGTGGGAACCTTGAAATTTCCGGAATTTAAGCCATATGCCCAGCCCAGCTGACAGTGCCTATGTTACTCATGACAGGATGTGATTGAAAACGATTCTGTTGTATCAGACTTGTGAAATTCAAACACATTGTCTTTCACATGGTGAAATATATTGTAGAATGTGTGTGTGTGTAGCGATGGTGAGTTGAGAAACACTCGATTCCCGCTCATGGCCAACACCAGTGACGATTATCTGAACCGGGCGTGGTTCTGGCCACCCACCCCCTCGTGTGCTGTGCCGGCCTTCATAGGTGCTCGCTAATAGCACTTGCCCCAACAGTCTGTTAAGGTTATACGGGGGATCTTTGTCTTTGTTATGACCGCTAAAAAATATCCATGTGTACAAATACATGCGGTTTATTTAAAAACCGTGAAAGAGTTGATAGTATGGACTTTGGGGTTGGAGTCGTGGAGCAGTAGTGCACTGCGCTGTGAACCTGGTGGCCTGAATTTTGATTCCTGGCCATGGCTAACTGAGCTTGAACTGGTCTTGCCGCCATCCCACCAAGGCCGTAATTATAATATATGGGGGGGGGGCGGAGAATGTGTGTCCCCCACCCCCTTAATATATATTATAATTACGGCCCCAATATTTAAACATGCTCAAAATGTCCCCTCCAATATATTGCTATCAAATAGATGTCTGTTTATATGATTGTGGTTATGGTTGTACTTTATTAATCCCTAATCTCTGTCATTACATACAATGAAACAAGAAAAGGTAAAAAATAAAAAAAACAGAGCAATGTAATACAAAACACTATTAGACATTATTGTAAAAAAAAAGTCCACCCTATGTGTTTGTACATTTTGTACTATTTTAGGCAGGAAATTCGTTTTCAAATTTAGAATTTTTTTCTGGGGTAGGCATTCATCCATCAGTGGATTGACAAAAGGATTGAAATGTCTGACTGTAAATTATATGTACTGTATACACATATATAATAACATACATTCTTCCCTTCTATCAACAGTGGCGTGAGCAACTAATTGCATGGCTGTGCCTTTACCATTTTTTTATATTATCAGCCGTGCAGAGTCGCATCTTCAAAAAAATAAAACTGAAATGCATTCCATCGCCTCGTTTGCTTTTCTGATAGTTGGTGGTAAACACATCGGTCCGTTTTTGGAAAGTAAAAAAAAACTGTTGGAAGGGAACGTTAGTCAACAACATGCGAATTGGGCCATTATGCGATGGTATTTCTCAACCTTGGCTTTGCAAACGCCACGCCCATTTGACCATAATTTTTTCCCGCCTCAATTGCGCCACGCGATTTTCAACCCGCGGGCGTAAGGTTTGATTCCCAGCTACGGCCAACATTAGTGGCCAGTGAAATCAGAACCGATATTGCCCTCCCTCCATGCCCCACCACTTTCACCAACCTGCACTGAGAAGCGTGGTGAAATATGGCGAAAGAAAAACAACCATGTCCGACATGGCATGGGGACGGCTTCGCCCATTGGCGGATAGAGATTGCTGGAATCCTCTACACCGGTGTTTCTCCCCCAAAGCCAGTTCCCGCAACACCCCCCCCCCCCCCCCCCCCACAGAGATTTATGTGGTTACCAAACCATCAAATGCGTGCAGTGTTTGCAGCGGCCTCATTTTTACATCAGTCAAAGAGGCTGGCAAGCAAGGAAGGCATTCTGTGTGGGTTTACGGCTCGTGGAGTCCTCCACGGAGCTAGTTTCAGTAAACGTATCACGTGCCCCTTTCTTGTAAAACCATTAAGAGTCGCATGCCGCAAATATTACACGCAGCGAGCAATGTGCACTTCGCACGGCAACAATTATTGACCATCGTAACTTTCAAACTATGGGGCCAAAAATCGTGTGTGCAGTACAATTTCCCAGTTCTGATTTTCACATATCCAGTACTGACTAATAAACTTCCCCCAACACCCAGTGCAGCATTTGTACAAGGTGGTGGCATGGTAAATTTATTTTGACGTTCGTATATCTTTTTACACATCCATCCTATCTATACCTCAGGGCTCAGTTCCCATCGCATTGGACGTGTACTCTATACACGTTCGCCATCGTGTGAATCTAGCCATCCTTGTTTGTGGAAACCCACGAAAATGTAATGTCTTAAAAGTGTAATGAGCGTAAAGGTACGATTAGCACGGTTGGCTACGTATTGTACGAAAGAGGTTCAACCTACATACACATATAAGGTTAGCACACATAGCCTCATTAATGAGCGGAGAGGTGAATTTGGTGAAAAGCCTAGGGTAGGAATTAAGAGGGTAACAAATACATTTAAAATAAATTTTTCCTTAATCGTGCAATTTGTTACAAGCCATTTCATACATTTTGCTTAAGGCTACACAATCACTAAGGCTGGGGCTGTTACTCTAGTTGTCTGCTCTGTGTTATTACATTATGCCAATTCCAAGCAAAGTATGTGATGATAGACACGGCCAAGTGGCTCAGAGGTCAGAGCGCTGAGCCGACACCGCTGCCAGTTTGAGGTTCGCATCCAGAAAGCCGTCTGTGATTAAACCGGATTCTGATGTGTTGTGAGCTCATGGACTCCTCTCGGCCACCAATTACTGCACAATACATTTGGTACTGCAAATGTTTCGTCAAAATCCCAGCTCTGATAATTAACTTATCGGGTTGACTGCCATGCACGTGAACATTTCTGGCATATACAAAGCAGGTGGGAAAGTGCTGCTCTGTACTGCATTGTGTGGACTAGAGTTCACTTTATACCTCAAAGGGAGTTCTGTGATATTCACTTCTGTGGGCCATTCTCTCACACAAAGGGTTAAACTGCGATGCGGAAGATCCGGATAAATGCATATATGTATGATGCGATTCTGATAGCATAATCAAGATACAATATGAGAAAAATAAAAAAAAAATAAGTTATGTTTGTTCACCGACTCAGTAATAAGTACCAATGTAAGCACACAGCAGTTGTAAAGTTAATTGTGGCAAGAGTTAATTCAGTAATTCATGACTACTGATATGTGCTACGCCTGTAATTCAAAATAAATTTGAAGCATTAAGAGGTGGCATGCCACTTCTGCAATTATCATTGATTAACATCATCATTGATTAACATCATCATTGATTAACGTGCTCATCTCCTGATTGTAAAGAATACCATGATTCAAATAGTTGTCATATTGCAGCCACATTCTTAAATATGTTTTAAATTGCTTCTATACCCTTAGGAAGACGGCAAACGACAGCTCGCTGCTCTTCTTATGTGCAGTTATGTAAGTGCTGCATCGTTTACCACGTGACACCTCTGCCACCTTGTGGTAAAATAGGAAGGGACAAAAATATTGCGCATGAGTACCAAAGGCATTCCTCATTCACCACTCACTTTTGACCAATGCTAAATCGACGTAGATTATGAATTGAAACAACATATGCATGTAAACTTCATCGTACAATGTATATGAAAACGAACGATTTAATTCCCTTTTTTGGTCGAAATTAGGTAGAACCTAATGTCTGTATATTGCAAAGCCATAACATTGGCAGTGAATAAATGGGAGTCAAGTTTTATAAACAAGAAACCTGAAGGAAAAAAATAAACAAAAGATGCACTATGCACGTGTGAAAAAGAAGGTGTGGCAACAGGCTTCTGCGAAGGTTCTGGAAAAATGAATAGAATGCTCAAGACTGATGTGGCAGACCACGGCATCAGCTGGGAAAGCAACCTAAAAGATCGAGTGCCAAATAAGAAGTAGAAACAGATCGGAGAAGAAGGGTCGCAGAACATACAGACTTGGAGGCAGCATCGCATTGAGGCATCAAGAGCAGAAGAAGAAAACTTACGACTCATTTACACTGGCACATCCGTATGCATCTATGTTAAACTTCTTTCGCACCGTACGTAGCCAACCGTGGCCAATCGGAGGTGCGGGGGAAGGACAACAAGCTAAACACAAAAAGCAGTTCTAAAGAAATTAGTTTTCAATCTAGATTTAAAAGTGCATATCTGCAGCGGCTTCCTAAATATCGGAAGGGAAGGGCGTTCCAGACGGCCGCGGAAGCGCGCCTGAAAGCACGCGATGCAGTGGCCGTCTTTGTTTGATGGTTAGCCAAAAGCTGCTGCGAGGATGACCGAAGTTTGCGTGATGGTTTTATGCTGCTTGCCGAGATCAGCAAGGTATTGTGGTTCATTTGTGGCAAGCCCTTTGTGTGCACTGAGTGCGTGGGGCCCTCAAGGTACTGGTCGTTATCCACCGGCTATTTGAACATACTGGTGCGCGGTATAAAAAAAAGCAGAAAATCTTGCGGGGTGCGCCAAAATCAGTTCCTCGTGATGTCAAAGCAGTCGGAAGATGAATGAACACGAAAATTCACAGTCTGTTGCTGTGTAGCACCCAGCCTGATGACGATTGCCTCCGTGATCCAAAGCCAGATTTGACACATGCCCTAGATTTGGTCGGACAATTCCTCGATTCAGTTCTGAAATGATTTCTTAGCAGACGGTAGCATCAAAAGATTATGACTCATGTCACACGTTCGAATGGGAAAGCAGCTTCTGAACCTAACAGAACTTCTGATGGAGAATCTGCAGTTCACCCAAGGGCAACAGCGACAACATCAGACTGTTTTATGAGGACCGGTGTATTACGCTGCAACGGTGTGCCGCGAATTAATCCAATTACCAACGTTTTTTTTCACTCAAAACAACATTGGGCAGCACGTGAATCTGGCCCAATAAATTCACGGCAGCGTGTGGGAGGCACCACGGGGGCGGAGGCGGTTATGAGAGGATTGGGAGGGATTGTGCGGCTAGCATGGAGGGGCAGAGCAGGGGGGGGGAACCTCACACCTGATGCATCTGAGACGTCTGCCCTGAATCCGAGCTGCTCTTGGTGCCCTGCTGAGACAAGGCAGAGCCACCGGACGCGTCTTCGCCGAGGGCCGCTTCGAGCTGCCGCAGGATTGGCGAAGACCTGAGCAAGGTCTTGCGGAATTCGCGTCCCACAAACACGTAGAGGAATGGGTTGACGCAGCTGTTGGTGATGGCTATTCCCACCGCGAGGGGCTGTAAAAAGTTCATGATTTCCATTAAGTGGTGGGACGCCTCTTCGTTTTCGAGCGGCACAAGTTTCACGATGACCAATATGTGGTAGGGAAACCAGCAGACGAAGAAGGCCACCACCACGGCGGCGATGAGGCGCACGGAGCGCGCCCTCCGTGATGTATGCACGCGCGACATGGAGCGCATCTTGTGCACGACGCACATGTAGCAGAAGCAGATTGCGACCAGTGGCAGCAGGAATCCAGCCAGAAGGGTGAAGACCCCCACGGCCACCAAGATCACGTCTTCTTCTTCTCCGTAATTCACCATGCACCACGTCAGGCCGATCTCGTCTTCGATGATCTCGCGGTACAGGAAGCTGGGCAGAGTGCTGAGCGCGGCGGCGCAGAGAGAGACGACGCACACCACCCACGCCACGCGGGTCGAGCGGATCCGGAGCGCCAAAATGGGCTGCACCACCGCGAAATAGCGGTCGAGGCTGATGGCCGAGAGCAGGTACACGCTGGCGTACATGTTGAAGATGATGAAGGAGGGCAGGACCTTGCAGGCGGTGTGGTCGAAGGGCCAGTGCTGGTGGACGAGCAGCATTATCAAGAGGGGCAGAGTGGCCACGAAGGTGAAGTCCACGGCGGCGAGCGAAAGAAAATAGACGGTGACGGGGGAACGCTTCATGCGGAACCCCGCGACCCACACGACGGCCCCGTTCCCCAGGGTGCCGCAGACGAACACGACGCTGTACAGCAAGATGTTGATCACCGTCATGGCCTTGTTTCCGGCCGTCCCGATGTGGTCGTCATCCTCGTGGTCCGTGTGATTATGCAGCGCGGTGCAGTTGTTGAAGCTCGGGTCCGTGCAGTTGTCAGCCTGGATGCCGAATGGGCCCGCAAGCGTCGTGGCGCTCGGTTCCATTGCCTGACGCTGGAATGGGGACGAATGACAAAAAAAAATAACTTTTATTATAAAACGAACAAAAAATATTCATTTTTAATCAGGTAAGGCCCACTGAGCTATTTAGTTATTTTTACGAGGCGACCTTGCCACGGATGATGGAACACACCGAGTACAATTGACACACTGAGCGCATGAACACACTGAGTACAATGGACACACTAAGCACTTGAACACACCGAGTACAATGGACACACTGAGTACTTGAACACACCGAGTACAATGGACACACTGAGTACTTGAACACACCGAGTACAATGGACACACTGAGTACAATGGACACACTGAGTACTTGAACACACCGAGTGCAGGAACACACCGAGTACATGCAATTTATTGTGCGCGTGAAAGTAATGCAGTGCACAAACACACGATTGTCTCCACCGCGGTCATCAGCTGGTGACCCACCAACCCCGGGCCGCCTGTGCTATTCACAGCGCTGCTGATGAGTAAGCCTGCGGCTCTTTAAGGGACCGTGGGCTTCGTGACAAGTTATTTTATGAAGGAACCGCCGATTCGTGTTCACCACACAGTGCAGTGCGGCCTCTTGAAATATGTACCGAGCCTTTTGTGTGTGTGTGTTTGGGTGTTTTTGTTTACCGAATTCGAACAAAAATAAAAATTTACTTATGTTTTTTTTGGGTTGCCCATCCCTGCCACAGCACTGCTGTGTGGGGGGGGGGGGCAAAGGCGCAGTGCAGAACGAGTCACGCACTTCCACGTGTGATCTCAAGCCAGCGGTGACACACACACCCGCTTTGTAATCTACTTGGCAGCGCCGCCAATGCAATCCCGGGCCGATTTTAATATTACACAACTCACCGCCTTCAAGATGCTCCGTGAACTCTCCCCTCTCATCTCACTCAGCTCCCCTTCACGCTCTCCCCTCTTATCTCACTCCACTCCCCTCCACGCTCTCCCCTCTCATCCCACTCTACTCCCATCCACGTTCTCCCCTCATCTCACTCAGCTCCCCTCCGCACACTCTGCGTTCCAGTAACCAAGGCTCTCCTTCAGAGCCCCCAGTCAACATTGGCACAGTGCTAGGTAGGTCGCGTATTCTCTTCTGCTCCCCTAATAGTTCTGACACCCCCCATCCGCCATCCGTGCTGTCGACTCCCTATCCAGGTCCAATTCCAGGCTCAATAGCAAATTCATTTGCCCGTGGCTGACTGCCGCTTTCTATAAAATAGAGGGTACTTCAAAAAATTGTTAACACTTCCGAGAATTTGCAACAATACCACAAGAAAACGCGCCTCCGGGCTCTGGAGACCACGTGAAGAAGATCCCAGGCCATGTGTTGACAATGATGGCGAACAAGTGGGAGACTCTTTGACTTTTTGAAGCTATTAACATCATATTTGTTATCATGTTACAGGCATTACATTATTATCTGTTCTATTTCGATTAAAACTATAGTCCCGTATAAGTATTATTGGTTCTTTCGGTAAAGTCACGTAGAAAGGAAACAATAAAATAATAATAAAATATTAAACAACAAAATTCTCACGACATTTCGACTGCAACACAAGCAATCATCATCAGGTGTGATGATTGCGACGTTTCAACTGCAAGTCGAAACTGAAATTCGAAACATGTTGAACTTTATATTTTTTATTGTTTTATATTTTTTTTATTATTTTATTGTTTCCCTTCTACGTGACTTCACCGAAAGAACCAAGAATATGAATCCCTGCAGTCACGAAAGCTTTAACTCCCGTATAAGTGTTAACATTCCTTTGAAGCACCCTGTACAAGTCCACTGGTTCGGTGCAGCGTCTTGATATGGGGAGCATTTAGAGGCCATGTGAAATACAAATGGCATTATTATTGTGTGCCACTCGCATCCACCATCCCGCTGCAATAAATATAAGGCGCTCTCGCTGTTAACGTAAGTTCATGAAATAGGCCACCCGGTTGAAACGTCGATTAAGCTTAGTCAACCTCTTACTCATGTCAACGCTCATTCAGTGGCTGAAGGATGTTGGTGGCGTCGGCTCTGCCACCTGACTACTGCCTAGTTAACATCTCTCCACCACGAGACGATAACTACCTCGCCTGGTGTACAGGAGGCCGTGGGTTCGACCCCTACCCTGACGCCCGCTGCATATTTCTCTCTCCGGGCCCTCCGGGTTTTCCCTCCACATTTATAATCAACGCGCGTTTTCAAGTATTTGGCTGCTATACATTTCCACACGATAAGCCACTTCGCTGAGTTATCATTTGTGGCCAGTTCCATTCTAAAAAAAAAGAGCTATATAGCTCAGTGGGCCTTACCTCGTAAAATAAAATTGTTTAGTTTTTAGTTTCTCCACTCCTATGTGGTTCCTCCTCGACCCTCTGAGTCGTCCTCTCTCTCTCTCCTCGAGAGCAATCGAATACGTTGGGAGCGGTGGCGCTGTGGTTTGCACCCTGCGCTATGAAACTGGCGTCCCTAATTGGATTCCCGACCACGGATAACATCAGTGGCGGGGTGGTGATATCAACCGACCCTTGGTGTTCCCTCCCCTCGTACCAACGCATACTGCTAGAGTTTACGTACGAGCGTTTAATCTGTCCACCTATGTAACATCCCTCTGTAAATGTCCACGATTTATTATCCCAGGTTTAAGGCTGGACACACCCGTGAAAGAGAGTTTCATGGCTCATCGGGTCCTCCAGCTTAAACCACATTTACGTGGCTATGACCAGCGCAGTGAAGTATGGTCAGACAACCGACAAGGCGTGTGAGAACACTACACCCAGCACTGGATTCATAAATGAGCTGTGCATGATTATGATTTGTAGTACGTATTACTAATAACGCATCGCAATAATAATGGATGAGGATACGACACTCGGAAGGAATGATGATAGATGGGCAATAATAATAATGATACTGACAGATTGTGTTGCCAAGGTAGAGGCACGCGTTCAAGACAGAGCTACGTCCACCGGAGATATGGAGCGATTAAAGCAATCATCTCGTGCGTAGTAGGTGGTAGCCGGATAGGGTGCTATGCGGATTATGAACACGCAGGATCTGGAGAGATTGCGTATAGGCTTGGGGGAAGCCTTCATCCAGCAGTGGATTGACCCTGACTGCTGCCGATTATCATGATGCTGATGATGAATCGCACGCAAACGCATATTTACCTGCTCGGGTGCCTTGCTTCACTTCGCTGTGCTCGTCACACAAGCTGGGCGTGAATTAGTCCACGTCGTCCTCGCGTGAACTCGTGCAAGAATTCACGAGTTAAACGCACGCTCAAGAAAAAGCACCCCCCCACCACCACCACCCACCCTCCCTCGCCCCCCTAAAAAAACCCACAAGAACTCTTGTGAATATTCCGCGACGCGAGTACAAGATAGGAGCGGTGGCTTTCACAGCCGCGATGGGACCTAGAGGGGAGTCCTGCCTTGCGTTGGCGAGTCGCAGTTTGTTTTTTGATATATAAAGCGGTCAGTAGTAAGTGGTTGGTGGTGGTGTTGTGACGCAATGGAGAGAAGGGAGGGACCAACGTGAGACTTGAGGCCAATGGCTTCTGCGATGGTGATGTGGGGGGGGGTTTGCACGCCTGGCTCCTTGGACTTGCATCAAGCGACCGAGGAACACGTTCATTATATATCTAAACACATTCTCCAGAAACACTGGGGTCTTAAAAAAATATGTTTAATAATAGGCGCCGTTTCAGGCAATGGCTTCTTAGCAAATATAGAAAGTTTTAAATAAAACTATTTTACGTGCTGCTATGGTGATGGGTCATTGCCCGAAACGTCGCCTATCATATATATTTTTTTTATTCCAATGCCACAGTGTTTATTGAGGAATGTATTGAGTTAATGTTTTTGTTCATTGTGCATGTGTACCGTTCGCTGCCAACACAGCAGCATCACCAAATGACAAAGCTGTCAACCCATCACGGTTTACATCCCGTATTCTTGTGCAGGGACATCTTGTTTCCAGGTCCATACGGCGTACAGCCGTTTCAATACGGGAAAAAAAAACATTTATATTAGTATATTTATTTGTGCTTCTACCTTGTGATGGGACTTTGTAGGACGAACGTTGAGATTTATAAGGGAACGGGGTGACCAGTAAGGTTTGAATTGGTCTGTAATAAGGTAGGGCACTGATAAGGGGTTGACAGGTATGAAATATCTATATTTTTAAAAAATCTGAGAATCACGCGCAGGTTTAATGGCACCATTCGATGTGTCGAGAAAACCAAGTTGGTTTGGGCAGGACAAAGTCGCTGGAAGGGATGAATGGCAGATACTAATACTAATAACAACAGCAGAGTGGCAGCCAAGCAATCGGATGCGTCTGGGGAGGACGCGAGCCGAGGAGGTGGAGAGATTAATTAAGTTCACATGCGGGTGCCACTAGATCAATTGTTTGCCAAACCGCAGTATCATGAGCGGAGGTAGTGGATTGGTCAATACCTTCATCCAGCAGGGGATTGACCACGACTGATACCCATTAAATATTGCAACGTTGGTCCAACGTTCCATGTTCACTGGGTAATTCATTTGAAATCTCTTCTCCCATTCTTATGAGACGTGACGCCAAGGGACTAGTCCACTCGTATCACGGCAGGTCCCGTTAGATCTCTGACGTGATCCTAAGCAGGCATGGAGCCTGGCTGGATACGTGCGTGGGTCGCACGCTAGGGTTTGTTGTGCCGTACTTCTACGCTTCTCGCCGTTTCTGCTCAACTCCCCCTCCCCCCCTCCCCCGAGCCTTCACCAACCCAACACCACGCCGACCAGCGTGGTGAAGTATGCTGAGCACGGCAACACGATCAACGCGACGAGGCGGAGGGAGGCCCTCATCCAGCAGTGGAGTGACAAGCTGATGCAGGGTGCACACACCACGGGTACACGAGACGGGGTGGTGGTGGGGTGGGGGGTGATAGGATCTCCGTGCACTGTATTCTCCCACGCACACCCCTTGCTCCAAAATAATCAAATACATCGAATAAATATGTCGCGTTAAAAAAAAAAACTATTACTGAAGCATTTCCTTTGCACGGGTAACTTGACATGTGTTCATTTTGTTCCAGCACGTGCCTCGAGAGCCGCTGGTGGCCTTTCGTGCGGCCCCCCGATGATGCACAACATGTGAAACCCCCCTCCCCCATCACCATCATCATCGTGCTGCTGTCAAACCCCCAATGGTTTCAAATGAGTAGGTTTGCACTTTCCCAAAAAAAATGTGTATGCTTGCACAGCTTGCAAATCCGGTCCAACCACAACACCCTTGCATCGAGGATTGCATAGCTTTGTCGTGCAGGTGGCGTGACGACTCTGACATTGATGATGTCTTATCGGCGAAAGTGCCCCCCACCCCCCTGCCCCCCTCCCCTCTTAAAATTTAGTGAACACTGCTCTAGCGCCCTTGATCCGTTTGTATCGACACTTCTCCTCTCTCCCTGCCTCCCCCCTTCGCCTTCCTGAAACTTGTGTTTTTTTTTTAAAGGTAAAGGCGCAGCACCGCAAAATGTTCGCTTACGCCCCCTGCTGGCGAAAGGGCCTCCACTGGAAGGAGATCTTAAACGAGAGCTCATCTCGACTGTCGGACGGCACTTCGGCCTCCTCCAGTACACTGCCACGCTGAACAGACGGTCTCGCAAGGATTGAAGGGTGCCCACGATCTACCCCCGCCACACGCGCGTGCTTGTCAATCTACTGCCCCGTACTGCTGGGTTGACCAAAGAGGCGGAGGAGATTCGGGGCCGTCCATAAATGACGTCACGCACCTAGTGGAGGAGGGGGTGGGGGGTCAGACATTTGTGACGATGCGTGACGAGAGGGGGTTAGAAATGCGACGTCACATCAACTTTAAATAAATATAGACAACACGTTCTACTTAATTAAATAGACTTTTAAATACATGTTTCTCCTACAACATCAGAGTGCAGCGCCACATTAATTACGCACTACAATGACAACAGTTTAAAGCGATTTGAAACATGTTTTATATTTGGGGGGGGGGGGGGCAGAGCTTTGTGACGTCATATTTGAGGGGGGGTCTGACTTTTTGTGACGCCGTGTGACGAAGGGGGGGGGGGTCAAAAATCGTCCAAAATCGAGTGACGTCATTTATGGACGCCCCCTTAAAGAAACTTGCCCTGTGCCTCAAGACGCCCCTTGATTCGTTGCCCTTTTAGTTCCACGCTTCCACGTACATTGGAATGCTTTATCCCGACTTGGGCAAACCGCATTAACCAGCTTGGCGAAGTACGGTCAAATTACTCCGCCCCCCCCTCTCTCCCATCACACGTACACACGTCAATTCATTAAAACCAACTAAGTCATCATTACCGCCACTGGCGCGAGTTGACTGCGGTGGTGGAGTCGGCGGTGGTTGCGCTTCCAATGGAGGGGCCAACGGAGGGTGGGGGGGGAGAACCACAGAGCGGATCACAGAGACGCCTCTACTTGCGAACATTCGACTTACGAACTTTCGGAGATTCGAACAAACCCGTCCGTATGTTAAGTTGCCTGTTCTGACCGAGAGTCGTAAGTTCAACCGGCGCGCAATAGATGGCGGAGATGGGATCTACATCTGCAGAACGTGAAGAACCAGTGGCATCTACGTCTACAGGAGATTATACGACTTTTAAAGCCATTCACCGTGTTCAGTGTACACGCCGTACAACGTGTTTGGAATCGGCAGGAGTAAAGTTGGACTTACGAACAAATCGGCTTACGAGCAGACCTCTGGGACCGAACTCGTTCGCAAGTCGAGGAGTCCCTGTATTTTGCATGCACCCCCCCCCCGCGACCCCCCCCCGCTCCCTCCTACAGAGCCACGCCCCCTATACCAATTGAGTCACCAAAGCCCGCCCATTACCTCCCGTTCAGCGGCACACTTGGGGAACAGACGTGAGACTTTACTCCTCCCCCACCCATACTTGCGTGTAATCGTCCAATGAGTCCAAGTAATCGAACCGATCATTGGTGAAGTAGATCAACTACTTAAATCATCGTCTAGCAAGCATTACTTTGCAGTCCCATGATGGATTGTCGGGAGGGGTCCCTGCGTTGGTATTTTTTTTTTTCCCAAGAAGTCTTTTACTTGTGGGAGGAAACTGGAATGGCTGAAGAAAACTCACCGCAGATACGAGATCATGCTGAAAAGGTCCGCACATACGTGTTCCATACCTTATCAGTGCCCTACCTTATTGCAGACCAATTCAAACCTTATTGGTCACCCCGTGCCATTATAAATCTCAACGTTCATCCTACAACGTCCCATCACAAGGGAGAAACACAAACAAATAGACACATCCCCCCCCCCCCCACCGTGCAGTTGCACCGCCTGCACACTCCATGTGAGCTACACCGCTGTCTCTGCGTGATCCGCCAACCCTTACCTCCAACGCGCTTGCTCGCCGGCGCGCGTCGCCGCGTCACGCGTTATCGTCGTTATTGCGACGATAACGATTGTAAATCGCATTATTGTTGTTCAGCACGTGTCATTCGCAGTCGAAAGGTCTCGCACCGTCGGGGCCGTATTTACGCCCGGGCTGCGTTTCACCGTGCGCCTTGTTTGGGCCGATCGTGTGCAACGGAACGGCACCGGACACACGATTCCGCGTCTCCTCCTGCTCCTCCGTTGGTCGTCGCATCGCCGTTATTGATGAGACTCATTTCTGCCACTCCTTTCCTTTCCTTCATCCATGGCAGTCGCTCCAGTACAACGCGTTTTTTTCTTTGTCTTTTTCTATGAATTGAGTACCAGCTATAACAGAGACCCATAGGTTCACAGAGAGACCCGTAGACTCACAGACTCCTAGACTCACGCAGAGACCCATAGGTTCACACAGAGACCCGTAGACTCACAAAGAGACCCATAGGTTCACACAGAGACCCGTAGACTCACAGACTCCTAGACTCACGCAGAGACCCATAGGTTCACACAGAGACCCGTAGACTCACACAGAGACCCATAGGTTCACACAGAGACCCGTAGATTCACAGACTCCTAAACTCACACAGTGACTGTTAGGCTCTCACATAGACCCATATAGACTCACACAGAGGCCCATAGACTCACAGAGAGACCCTTAGACTCACACAGAGACTCCTAAGACCTCACACAGACCTATAGACTCACAGAGAGACCCATCGACTCACACAGAGACATAGACTCGCATGGAAACCCACACAATCACACGTAGACTCATAGGCTCACATAGGCCCACAGACTCGCAAAGCTTCATAGACTCGCAGTGGTCATGACCTCACGATGTGTTCCACTGGTAGTTATGGGGCGTCGC